GTGGGTTGTCATTGCTAATTATTTAAACAGTCAAATAGCATCAAAAGTATATTCTGCTGTGCTAGTCTGCAGCTAGGCCTGAGACGGGTCGGAGGCCAGAGAGTGTCAAGAGACATTATCTGTCCTCAAACTAGTCCACCTGGACACTTTCTCCTCCATTAATTATTTTTAAATATCTAGAGGACTCATGGCATAAAATCTAGGAAAACAGTGTGATACAATGCACTGGTTTCGGAGTGCTCTTTTCTTTTAAAAGTAGAATGCACTGTACAAAGTTTAGGAGTTCTGGGTGAATTGGGTTGGGTGTGTGGTGTAATAATGAGTGAGAGAATACATAGCAGACTAAAAAAAAATGATAGATACAGTGGTCTCTATCTTGGAACTTTGGATAAATATAGCATTGCTAGTTAAGCATTATGTAGCACTCTATATTCTCAAAGTGCTGTACAAATTAAGTAGTTAATTTTTCATAAGATGCTCATAAGGTAGGTGGATAAACACTATCTCCATTTTATAGAGGGATACTAAAGAATAGAAGTTTTGACTTGCCCAATGCATCACATCCTGCTGATATCAGACCCTGGGACAGTACTCAGTGTTCCTGGCTCTTAGCCTGGTGCTCTGTGCATGACCGCACGGTGTCTCAGTGTGAATGTGATCGAGCAGAGGACTGTCGGTCATATTGAAGGTAGACTCCAGCTAAAAGCAGTATAGATAAATCTGTTTTCCTTGAGTACTCCTCACACTGCTAAATACTGGTCAAGTAAATTAAATTACAATGGATTTGTTACTATAATGTTTGCAGAACTAGCGATAGAAGGAGGACTTCAAAATAATCAACTGTATGGATCGTTTTAGTTTATATATCTCTAGCTGCTTTTCTCCTGTCACTGTAAATCACAATTAAAAATTGAGAAAGCATTTCCACTTTTCATTTCTCAGATGAAATTCCTGCCTGTGTTGTATGTATGGTTGTGTGTGTTAAATTTTTAATTTGTTTCATTTGTCTGTTCAACTGATGTAACTGATGTGCATCCTTTCGCCCCAGGATACAGGTTAATAACCTCCTAACCTGAGAATAAAAACATGATAAAAGGAGAACACCCCATGGCTTTGGGGACCATTTATAATATTTTCTTTTTTAAATCTTTTCCTTTATTTTTTTTATCCTTTTTGCCTAAAGCATTTTGCACTTTCAATGGCTTGATGGACATTTAAAAAAATTAATTACTTCAAATTTGGATGGGGAAAAATAATTCATAGAAAATCTGCAAGAAAGCTAATCACACTTACCTTTTCTGAAAGTCCTTGCAAAATGAGAAGGGGAAATACATAGCATCAATAATTTGTGTTCATTGTCTGAAAAATACTTTTTTACCATTTGTTCATAATGCAGGATGGGAGATGCCAAGTGAATAGTGCTCTTGAATCATGATGTCTGATCAGTGTGTAACGGAAGTATTCAGCTACTATCCAAGGTATTCTGGATGGCATGGACGAGGAGAAGAGGAAAGAGACAAAGGTATTTTGCATGGGATGGAGTAGTTTGCAGATAGAATCGTGATACTTATTTTTTTCCTCATGAAATGCAAATGCTTATTATACTCACTAATGGTAACTCTCTCCACATATCATGCTCTTGAGTCAGGAGTCTAACTACTCAGATATGATCTCTGCACTTCAAAAAAGTGGGGAATCAGTGTATTCTGCTGAATAAGGGCTTCCAAAAATAGTAGCCTTAAGAAGGTCAGAAGGGTTGGGGGAGAAAGGAACACATGTACCTGCACCAAAGAATCTCTGGGGTCTTGGAGATGACTAGGGAAAAACACCCCTCACCCTGCCAGAAGAAAGTGGGGTTTGGAGGTATTGGGAAGGAACCCCTTGTAATGCCATGTCTTTGTCCTGACCCCCACTGTAAGTTTAGCTCTCGTTAATCAGTAGAGAAGGCCCAGTACTTCTACTAACTGCACAAGCACTCAACGTAGAGTGGCTCAGTTCAAGTTTCTGGAAACATCTGGTTCCCACTGGGTGTGCTCTGACACTCCAAACAAAAGTATCCTGAACAAACTTGAGAAATATAGCCTAGGCAAACCCACTATACGGTGGCTGCATAACTGGCTGAAAGATCGTGCTCAGAGTAGTTATCAATGGCTCACAATTGTGTTGGAAGGGAATTTTGATTGGGGACCCACAGGGATCTGTCCTGGGTCCAGTTCTGTTCAATAGCTTCATAAACTATTTGGATAATGGCGCGGAGAGTATATATATAAGGTTTGTGGATGATACCAAGAGAGGAGGGGTTGCAAGAAACTTCGGAGGACAGGATTAAAATTCAAAGCGATCTCGATAAATTGGAGAGAGGGCCTGAATTTAATAGGATGCAATTCAATAAAGACAATTGCAAAGTCCTTCACTTAAGAAGAAATAATCAATTTCACAAATATCAAATGGGAAATGACTGCTGAAGAAGGAGTACTGCAGAAAAGGAGCTGGGGGATCTAGTGGATCACAAACTAAATATGGGTCAATAATGTACTACTGCTGCAAACAAATAAACAAACAAACCAAAAACCAAACCAAAAAACCAAAGTCACGAATATCATTCTGAGAGATTTTAGCAGGGGTGTTGTAAGCAAGACACAAAAAGTAATTCGTCTGCTATACTCTGTGTTGATAAGGCCTCAACTGGAGTATTGTGTCCAGTTCTGGGTACCATGCTTCAGGAAAAATGTGGACAAATTGGAGAATGTCCAGAGGAGGGCAGCAAAAATGATTTAAAGGTCTCAAAAACGTGATCTCTGAGGAAAGCTTGAAAAAACTGGTTTTGTTTAGTCTGGAGAAGAGAAGACTGAGGGGAGATATAACAGTTTTCAAGGACATAAAAGTTGTTAGAAGAAGAGTGATAAATTGTTCTTGTTAACCTCTGAGGATAGGACAAGAAGCAATGGGCTTAAATTGTAGCAAGGAAGATTTAGTTTAGACATTAGGAAAAACTTCCTAACTGTCAGGGTGGTTAAGCACTGGAACAAACTACCCAAGGGAGGTTGTGGAATCTCCATCATTGGAGGTCTCTAAGAACATGTTGGACAAACATCTGTCAGGGTTGGCCTAGATAATTCATAGTTCTGCCTCAGTGCAGGGGACTGGACTAGAGGACCTATCATGGTCTCTTAGTCCTACATTTCTATGATTAGCATAATTATTCCTCAACTCACATTACATATATAGGATAGAGCCACTAACACGTCTTACTCCAGACTGATAAGGTGGTGGCTTGAACAGGTGCAGTTAGGAGGTCACATTGGTGATGCTGCTATATGTAATTATTCTGATGGGACTGCTGTTGATGCCCTCATTCTTTTCAGTCCCTAACCATTAAGGAGTCTCGGTACTTCGGAGAAATGCCTTTTCTATTACCCTTTCATCCTGGAACACTATTCTTTTTGCATTTCGCATATAAAAAGAAAATACTTGCCCACAGTAAGATCTCCAAATGACTGTCTGCAGGTTTATTTTAACTGTTATATTATGGTCCAATTCCTCTCTCCGTGTTAGGGGGGACAGACTAGATTAAAAAAAGAAAGAAAACAAATATGTATGCGGAGTAACATCAGCTGGAAGAGACAGATGATAGCTTCAGTTCAATAGGTGGAAACTAAACTTGCACAAAAATATTTTTGAGCATAGGAATAGCAGATATTGTTAATATTTACTACGGTAGCAATTGCTTTAGTGTCTAGTTCGTGACATCTTACACTTCCCATCTACTTTTGCTGTCCACACTGGAGGAGAAATCAGTAACATGGGGTCTGGGTATCTTCTTAATGCAGCTCATTTATTTATGCTATATACATCAGTCCTTGAACAGAGGTGGTCATAGTTGATCCACAGGCACTTCCCAAAGAAATCTGCATCTGAAAAACTAACACTACACTATCCCCCCACCCCAAGACTGTATACTGCTCTCATGCTAAGAAAAAGAACTTGTAAGACTATGTAACAGTGCCATCTGGTGACTCCCTCCATAGCAGTGTGTTTGCACAGCATGCAACATCATTAAGACCCAACCTGGTTGTGACTACTAGGCACTACCATAATATACGGTATATAATTAATGGGCCTCACAATCAAAAGACAACGTGTTTACAATTGATAAAAGGAAACAGATGTTACACAATGCATAATTAACCTTTGGGTTTGGTTCCACAAGGCATTTTTGAGGTCAAGAGCTTAGCAAGATTAAAAAAAAATTAGACAGTTCATATGAATAATTAGAACCTTCCCAGATACATCAAACAGGATAAACTTTATAAGGGATATAAACCCTCCTGCTTCAGGGCATAAGTCAAGTACTAAGTGCCTTAAATTGGGCAGAAACTTTCCCTTTAACAAGTTATTGCATAATTGTTCATTACAGGATTTCTTGTGCCTTCCTATGAAGCATCTAGTACCAATGGCATGCTGGTTTAGTTGGACATTGATCTGCTCCAGTATGGCAATTCCTATATTCAGAAGTAACATATGTTTCATGCAGCTAAATGAAAACTTACCCCTTCATTGTGACTCTATATGATCAACAGTTATTTCAGGATAAACTGTTCATAGTTCAAATATTAGCCAAGTGAACTCAGCCTGTGTTTTATCACTATGCTATTTCAAAACCCTCCATTTATAGGTCAAGGTTAAGAGGGTCTGGAAAAACAGACATCTGTGTTTGTTATGCAGTAAAGTGTAATGAGCACTGGTGACTCTTTCTTTCTAATACACTTCAGCTGGGCATGGAAATGAAAACGATTACACTTATAACCCATAACTCTATAGGGAGCTGATTGGTAACGAAATTGCAGAATATTTACCGTAGCTAATGGGAAAGTTGCTAGATTATGAGAATGTGATGTTTTATTTGTAAATCTGATGGAAAGCTAGTTAACAAGTGTAAATGAGCATTTTGTTAATTAGAAATAATCTTCAAATGTATGAATGCCCAATTGTATAATAAATCAGATGAGATTAATTTTACATATTTGAAATATTCTAAATTTAACTTATTTGTGCATCTAATATTTATATTTTCAGTATATAGAATGGATGTTATATAAAGTATAGACTAAATATTAGTTTACTTAGAAACTTACTGTTATGCAGCTTACTGTATACTAACTCACTGTGAATTATCATAAGGTTTAAAAAAGCCACTTACCAATACTTCCTAGAATATATGTGCACGGCATTATGTATTTGTCAACCAATATGCACGTACCTTGGAAGTGGTGAAGCTTCTGGCATAGCTGAGTGTGCATGTACAAGCACCTGAATGCACACCTTAAAGTGTTGTTGCACTCATATAGAACCATAGAATATCAGGGTTGGAAGGGACCTCAGGAGGTATCTAGTCCAACCCCCTGCTCAAAGCAGAGCCTAATTCACTCATGCATTACACCAGTGTAATTCCATTGAAATCTGTGGAGTGTAAAACTGAGCAATGCAGTGGTGATTTAAGCCATAAAATGGCTTTTACTAATCACTAGACAAATACTGTAGGATGCAATCTTGCATTGGTTGTGGGATGTGCCACAATGGACTTATTAGAGCTTATAAAATTCTAAACTCAAGAATATAGTTTTATTTTTTTTTAAATTGAAATGGCCACTTTCTAGAGACAAGGGGCCAGTTCCTGGCCTCTGCCAAAGTTCCTTTGTGCTACCCAGCAGTGCCAAAGGGCCTTAAAGCTGCCCTAAGTGAGTAGGTGAGGATTCCTCTGGGCTGAGAGGGCCATTACAAGCTAATATAAGTAGAGAGAAGTGCTAGGGCTGAACTGACTTTTGGCCAGTCTCAGGAAAGGTGGTGTGAAGCCTTTCCTTTGATACCCCCCATCTCCTCTAGAGATAACAAGCATTACTCCAGAATGCTGACTGATGTAGCCCCAAAACTTCTAAAATGTGTCCGTTGACTGTGTGTAACAAGTAGTAATTAGTAAAAGCCTTATCTCTGTTTCAGCAGTCTGCTTTTTTCATAGGTCTGAGTTGCTAGGATGTGGTCACTTAATGAGGTGATGGTGAAGCAAATCTTTTGGTTTATCCTATTATCTAAATGTCCGGGCTGCTTTCAGTTCTGATGCTTCCCAGTTCATCCCTGAGCACTCAGGCTGTGGGCTGTTTTTCCTCCTACTTGTACTTTCACTAGGAGAATAGGTTCTGTTTTAAAAACATGTTATCTAAAGATTTTAATTAACCATGGTTTTTGAATGCTAGTATAGCAAAGTTTAATGCTTTTGCAAATACGTTAGTTGGCTGTGGTGGGCAGCAGAATTAAGTATACTATGGGAACTGTGACTCTGAATGTCTTGACATTTGTGTGTGTACTACCTTAGCCTTAAAGGTCCATGAATGCAGATATTTCTCCATATAGCTTGTTTAAAAATTAATGTAGTGCATATACATTACGGGCAGAATACATAACAATATACAATTTACAACGCCAGAGGTGGATAGTTCATAATCCAGGGAGACAATCAAGTGTAAA